GTACATCTGTTTCACAGATGGCAATTTCGGATAACTCTGGCGTATCAGCTGATCTTGTTAAACCCGGATAATCCACATTAGCTGGGATCCTAAACACGCTTTTAAAGAACTCCAATAGGGTTTCTGCTTTATCGCGGTTACACGTAGCTATGCTTCCGTCGGGCAACGTTAGTTCTCCTATACACTCCCGTCTGCGTGCGTTGGCTTCCACGTACGCATAGAAGCTTTCGGGGTTCCTTTTGATACCTCGGGCTAAGTTAAACCCGCATTCATATTTTGCGCGCCTTTGGAGATCTTGAGTTCTGTTGCGCGCCCGCTTGTAGTTACTCCAGGCTTGTTGAGTGCCGTAAAGCTTAAAACGATCCCAGTTTCGTCGGCGAATNCCTTCCCTCAGTGGTGCAAACCTTTCTGTGAGGCTAGTTAATCCTCTTTTAACTACTTCCCATCTATCCTGCACAGTGCAATCCGGGGACGTCGGGTACCAGCTGATGGTATTTGCAGCTTGTACCAATTCAATATCGTTTATGCGACTATAGAGAAGCATAAGAGCAGGTACGTGCCTACGATGTTTAACCATTAGTCTAAAGCGAAGAACTTCGTGGTCACTTTGGCCCAGCGGTTCTTCCACGTTTAAACTAGTTATGTCCGAAAAGTACCTTGTGATAACTTGGTCTAGCAGCGAGGTACGCTGTTGTCCTCAATATCTCGTTGCTTTTGTAACATGTTGTGAAAGGGTTCTTTCCTGTAGCCACTTCAGCAGCCGTTCCCCTTGAAACCCTACACTCGTGGATCCATGTGCCCAGGAGATCTCCGGGAAGTTGAAGTCACCTATCACGAGAAACCTCTGGTAGTTGGCCAGGGTTTCTTGCATAACCCGCAAAAGCTCTGTATCTTCCCAGGGAGTAGCAAAAGAGGCACGGCAGACACCTAGTATACCTATCTGCCTTCCTCTCAGTTGGATACGGCATCCCACTGCTTGGATGTTGGGGGTAGCTAAGATCAGTTGTGTTTCCCACTGGTTGAGCGATGACTTAACTAATATTAGCAGACCACCACCCTGTCTGACGTCTACTCCATCCTGCCGGTAACTAGTATAGCCTCCCAGGTCTGCTATAACTTGCAGCTCGCGCAACCAGGACTCCGTAATAACGACGATTTCGGATCCATGGAAGCGTGCTGCAATCTTGCCCCATTTACCTCAGACGCTACAAGCTTTAGTATACCAGATTGCAATACTATCCGCTTGTAGCTGTTCCGACTGCGGCNGTCCTCGGGCGCAATACCCGAGGGATAACCCCGTTTTGTGCTGTTGTGTAACAGCCCGAGGTAGACTCCGCCATCCATGATATGCAACCTTTAAATCTACCCAGTCTAATGACTTGGATGTCTGTGGCGTGACTTTTTTTGAGGAACTCGAGGTCCTCGCGTCCGGGACTGGTAATTGTGCTCAATCCTGGCTGGCATTTCGGCGTATTCGCTACTACTGTTGCCCAGCTGCGGTCCTCCGACACCTTTTCGCGTGTAGAGGTTCTCTGCGCTCCGTTCCTGACATTATCTTGCTCTGAGGAAGCGGATTTCTCTGCTACAGCGTTTAGCTTCACAGCTTCTGCGGGGCTGAAAGCGGTGGTGGTTTTCTCCGCTCCAACCACTTTCGCTTCGCTACCACTTAGCGCTCGTAGTGGATTCCCTGTAGGTTTCGGCGTTGATTTACTCAACGGTGTACCCTTCGGTCCTTGTGTGCCCTTTGGTGTGCACACCTGACCTTGGGCCTTCGTTGAGTTAGTCACCGATCTAGGTTTTTCGGGCGCCCCTACCCTTCTTAGCCTAACTACAGCATTCTTCGGCGGCCCAACTTCTTGTTTGCTGGTGGGTGTCCAGTTTGTTCTACGAATCCCCATACCATTATGTGGGGTGACAATTATGCCTCCCCTGGTGATGTTTTCTATTGCCGCTAATATGGACAATAGGCGGTCCCTGACATACACACTCGTGAGGGCTAACAATATAGGCCGGGGTTGGGTGGCTCTTCCACCTACCCATAGTCCCATCCTATGAGATTTTATTATTTCCGNGCCGCTAATATGGACAATAGGCGGTCCCTGACATACACACTCGTGAGGGCTAACAATATAGGCCGGGGTTGGGTGGCTCTTTCGCCTTTCCATAGTCCCACCCTATGACACTTCATAATTCCCGTCATGGTAGGCATCCCCGCCAGCCTAAGCGCGGTCTGCACATGCTTCCGGCCCGCCTCGTGCCGA